ATGCGTGAATTTCAATCGAAATAATTTTGAGTCACAACCACTTGCCTACTGAAATGTGGTCTGATAACTTTCTTAGTTGAACACTATATCAAAATAATTAGTTTCTGCAATGTAACTCAGTTTACAGTAAAAATAATCAATTTAGGCAATTTAACAAAATTCGTTCAATTAAAACTCAAATTGCATTTCACTGCATTTTTCAGTGCAATGTTTCTTAAAAATGTCTACTGATTCTGTGCTCTTGTAATTTTAATTGTCTCTTCGAAACAATTTTAATTACAGTTTCATACATTTGTGAAGAGACCATAAAAATATTTAAGTGCTTTACGATATTTTCCTTCCGAATTTAATATACAGAACAACACAAAAACTTAGTAACGGAAAATAACAATTCGAAATTTCAAAGATAATTTTCGTAAAAATTTAAAATTATATTTTTGTCTATAAATATACCCTTCCATTGCAAGTTCTGTTTCTTTTGTTCCCCTTTAAATATTAAATATAAGCCCTTTAACTTAATGAGAACTTATCATAAAAAGAAATATTTTTTTGTATTTTCCCTGAATAATTGTTGAAAAATGATGTTAAGTCACGCTCAGACACAATAGATTACTTCACTAAGTGAACCGTGATTCGTAATTACTTAACAGTTAAAACAAATATCGCTTTGTTTTTTACTTTTCTCACTTTCACCATTAAGTTTAATTATTACTTCGAAGAAATGCACTTCCAGATCTCTCTAGAATATTTATTACTTCATTATTTCTGAACAAACACTTCCCACAGCTTTAAGCTTTTTCTTTCTCTTGCAATGTAAAGCGTTGCAGAAAAGACAGCAAATCCCCATGGTTTACTTCCTAATAGGAAAGGAGTGCAATATGTCTTGCAGTGAGTCCTGTCTTGTCCCTCTACGCTCGATTAGAGTAAGACATGATGTCAAAGAGCTCACAAAAACAGCTATTTTTCTCAGTGCTCTGAGCTCTCCGTCAATGTAAGTAGGATTTGATGAAGACATAAAAGACCGTATGCATCCGCACACTCGCAGCTTGATGATGCTTGGCATTTTCATTTTTCTTTCAGTAATTTAAATATTATTCGCGGTCATGTTTCCAAAAGTATTTTCAAGACAATCAAACAATAACAGTTGTTATTGAAAACTTTGTTTATTGTTGTCGGAATGCATGCAATTATATTTGACTACTCATGATTAGGATGCACCTACATAATGATAATATGCAGAAAACGAATCTAAAGGGCACGTACATTCTATTCTATCTGGTAGCTGCGAGTTGTTTTGTTTATTTTGGAGTAGAAATTGTTAGATAGCGCAGTGTGATTAACTATGGGAGGTATATTCAATTCTTTGTGAAGTTGGGCATTTGAGATGAACCACTGTGCGTTGCTGGACAGTATGAAGAAATGGATTTCGGATGATCTACAATTTGTCGATACTACGCCGTGAGTAACTGAATCACTCTCCAAAATAGTGGTGCAGTTTCGAACAGTGCACTGCGTTTCTGCCGGCTGACTAGGTTGCGCGCGATATAGTATTAGGGTATTCCGTAGCAAAATTCTATCAAGTCACAAATTTGCGTATTCTGTCGTTTGTATAAACAATGAAGTTTTTTAATAGATGATAGCAGTACGCTTGTTGATTCGACAGACCATAAGCACATCCTTTTGGACGATATAGCGCGCGGCGATGGTGAAACGGTTAGCGGATCGGACTGTTGTACCCAAGTTGGCAGGTTAAAACCCGATCAAAGTCGTGTATTTTAAATTCTTCGTACGCCTTCCTTCGGAGGGGAAGTAAAGCTGGCTGTCCCATGTTAGTAGACTTATTTGCATCTAAAAGATCCTCAAGCCTAAATGACGCCTCTGCGCTAAATTCGAATCGCCTGTTTCGTCACCTAAGATATACCTCCTTTCTCTGCTAGTTGGTGAAAGGTCCTTAGCGAAATTTGCGTGGTCAGACGGAAGAGTGGGTCTGATGGCCCGAGTCTCGCCACGTAAAATTGGCATCAATTCAATTCAATTCAATTCAATTCAATGAAGTCACAAATTTGCATATTTCGTTGTTTGTATAAACAATGTAGTAGATGTTAGCAGTATGCTTACTGATTCGATTGACCATAAGCACATCATTTTGGGTGATATAGAACAGGGTTGTCCAACTGGCAGCCCGCGGTGCCGTTCATTGTGGCCCGCGAAATGTTATTCGTCAAAAACGAAAGCTCCTTGCATCCATGGCGAGAGCATTGCGCGCCTGAAGCACGCGCCCTATCGGCGACAGCACACCCTTAATGAAAAAATAGGTTGTTGAGATTTAATTTGTTTTTCTTTTAAATTCAGAAATTCAATATCAATGTGTTTCCGTGCGTTATGCATGGTTCGGCCTTATTTCATGCATGGTTCCATTTCTCCCCCCTCCTTTCAGAGCAGCCGGGCAAAGTGCCGAGATCAACATACGAGGAAGTTAGGTGTGGATCTCCCGAGTATTGTAAATGAGGCCGGAAACCACGTTAAAGGTTTTAGTTTAGGCACTTCAGGTCATGCAAGTTGAACACCCCTGACATAAAACAAGAAAAATCATATCGAAAAATATTTTCCATCTGCAATCCACATTCCAGAAGGCAAACATCGGAATCGGCTAAACACAAATTACATAAACAAGTTTTTGGTGCTCTACAACATATGTAACTCCATAATAGTTACGTAATGATACGTGAGCTTGACATGTAAAACAACACAATTCTGAATATATTAAACAAATGTTGATCACCTCCGGCCAAGGCCAAGAAAATCTATACTATAAAAAATGAATTCAACGACATGTAACCGACATCGATACCACAAAAAGTAGGCTATGAAGAAATACGAAATTTTTACCAGCTCTTCCTCAGGATTGTCAGAGTGTCCTTGCAAAGTTTGTTCAAGATTAATATGACACAAATACAGAAAATAAAGACATAATTTAAATAATATTTTGGAGCTGCAACCCGATCATTATTTTTCGCCTGTCGCTAAGGGTAATTTCGTTCCTAATATATTCCGCCAGAGGCCAATAGTGGTGCAGATAACTGGTACGTACTATATTCCCAAGAGGCAAGTAGCAGGGCACAAGATAACAAAAATCTAATAGCAAGAACTGAAAAAGAAAGAATATTATAGTATTTTATTAAAATTTGAACCAATTACATTGAAGATAATCTTAAACATTATGATTTATATAAATTTTAATCTTTTTCCTCTTTTAAAAGAATTCAACTTCCTGGCAACACCGGGTATTTTGCTAGTATTTAATAAAATAAGACATTTTCTAAACTTCTTTCTTCACATAACAAACAAATAACGACATTTGATATGTGTCGCTTTTCTTGAGCACTACCGCGTTCTTGTCGTGAACCCACTTGAGGCTCTACATGAACCCGTGCGCGTGGTGGGTCGTGCTTTGTTGGTTTGTGCACTCGCCGCCAGGCCGCGCACAGTCGTGCGTTTGCGGTCCACTCGCGCTGAGTGACGGCGCTAGAAACCGCGCACGGCCTGCAGCTGCCTCAGCTCTTCTTGCCTCTTGTTTTGACCTTCGCGTCGCCTGCGACTCGGCGCAATCTGGCCTCTTCTCGTATATTAGCGCCGAGCTGTTTTTCCGAAGTCCGCGTGTGCGTTCAGGAGGCCTAGGGAATTGTCGAAGGAGGCAGGTCATTTCCGACCGCTGACGCAAAGTGCGGCGTCTTTTGTAAAGTTCAGGAAGTGATGTGTCCTGAAATAATGCATTCTTGTGCATACTTTCCTTATTCTTTTCTTTTTAATCATCAGTTCATATCGTCAAGGGATGCCTAACTCCAAAAATTCAGAAAATGAAAACCCTCGAAATATCTCAAGTCGAACGATAAAGGTTTTTTAAGAAAGACACAATGCGTGCTTCTCAATGAAACTATTAGCAAAATTGAAAGGAATATTTATAAATTCTGACAAATTTCAGGTTTATGCGATATCTAATATACAGCATATGTTTCATTCTGTATATTAATTATTTTGTTTAAGATATAAAGTTGAATTTCTTTGCAGATTTACTTCCATTCAGAACTTAAAATCTTAGGCCTCCTCAGCAGTTTTTCCTTGTAGTTCCGATGAACGATTGATTCATTAAATATTTTGTGTGTTTAGAAATTTATTTTGTCTGTTATTTTCAATAAAGAGAAGACATATGTTCTCAAAAACAGCTATGGAGGAAAATATGTCAAATGAGTACGACGAAAAATAAAACTGACAAAAAATGAGAAACGAAAAGAATCCGGAAAAATACAAAAAAAATAAAGCAGCAAAAGGGAAGTAAAATATTCTCAGGACCGATAAAAAGAAACAGTTATGAGAGTAATTTGAGACATGGAATGAAATACTAGGCCTAAAACACGAGTGGGTTCGAAAACCAAAAACAATCTGGGAGATATAATGACAGAAAATTCGGTAAGTTTATACAACTGGATGAAATCACAAAAAACTGTAAGAGAAGCGAGTTTTCGAAAATAATACTTTTGCCAAGAAAATGTTACGATGAGATCGTTTTTTGTTATCCTTCCAGACCATTGGTGAAAATCATTGCAAAAAGGTGGGCTCAGGCAGCAAAAAACGTTGCTCACAGATCATTCAGTTTTCGCCGTCAAATGAAAGTGATGTAAACAAAACCTCATCAGCTGACAAGGACGCTTAAGTGATCTGGAGAGGTCCACAAGGACGTTGTCTCCTTCGCTTCCTTGCTCTCGGAGGGGAGAATAACGATGGTTGCAAGCTTTGAATCATGATGTCGACGACCTAGATTACACATGCAACGAGTGCTATCATATGTTACTAGCGCAATGAACAAAAACCTGCCGAGGGAACGCCACTCATCTCGCAGGCAAAGAGTGCTAAGGCAACGCCGCTGGTAACCTACGAGCACATGTACATAACACACGGACATGCCAAGTATTTGGACATTGCAGAAATGCAATACATCTCAGTTACGTATTATATAACTCTTGAATCATTCTGCAAAAAAAATAAAAAATATACTATAAATTACTTTTACACTAAATCCAGTTAACAGTTTGTACATATTATTTATTATAAAAAATAACGTTTTAAATTCTTTATCAGCAGTAAAGTACTTGAACGTTTCTGCGTTTGTGAGCTTCCACCACCGCTTTAATTTCGAAGGAAACGGCATTAATGAAAATGAATGCGCTTCGACTAGGATATTCTAGGTTCGGATCTCAAAAACTGACAGAATGTTCAACATCAACTAACAACCTGGATTAAAGACGGGAGCTGCGTGGATAAGAATTATTGAGGCCGACTGCTCTGATCGGTCGTATTGGTGGTTTACAGGCAAATGCCGGAGCAGTTCCTTAAACAATGGGTCATGGACCGCGCGCGATCCTTACCTCTACCCTACTCCCACTTCCGTGTTTAGTGCCAGGCTAACTTATTCATCTTTCCCAAACGGCCCACGTCGCATTAACTCAAGAGATTTAAACAGAACATCCAGTTTTCAAATATCAGACCGAGGTTCCAATTAGGCTGTAGCACAGGAAGAAAATGAACCACAAATATACTAGAGTCAAGTTATAGGACGATCATTTTGACAGGCTGTGAAACACTTCAGCATCGCCGAAAACAGTATCCGCTACGGGAAATGTGTTCTTTCGCCAGTTGGTTATGCCTCGGAAGTGTCAGTTCAGTGAGTGCAGTTTGAGGTTATGGATAGTTTTCTGTTGTGATTTACTCGTAGTATGTAACAGTATCGAACGTCTAAAACTACACCGATAATTAAAAGAATTGATTCAAATAATGTCAAAAAGCACGTGACTTCTGAATATTGACGTGATATTTCTCTGATAGAAAAATTAAAAATGAGGTCATATCCATCCTTTTTGCGCTTTCAACAAAACTCCCATAAACACAAACATTTAGGCAACAAATATTCCAAGTAAATAGTACTTCTTTCAATAGAAGTTTTGAAATGCACTTTTCTTGAGTCCTAGCAACATAAATTAGTTTCACGTTATCATTTTCCGGTTCGGGCGACGACAAAAATATCAAAGTACTTCAGCCTCAACATATATTAGTCAACGCACGTAAGATGAAAGTAAAATATTTCTACACGTACTCTCCTCCCCACCTTTATTCTTGGCAAAATAATCGCCCACATGACTGAACCAATTACGTTATTTTATAGAGACATTTTCCGTCCAAGCTCCGTCATGGCCCCGCTAGACAGCCCCTCCCCGCACCAATGTTTCTTGCTTTAGATGGACTGCTCCATCGCCGGGGCATTCCTGGTCCGGATGTTAGGCCCCGGCTGATAGAAGAGCTGGAGGCGGAGCCTGCCGCTGTCAGTGCGAGTGACGAGATGGGCGGCGGGGGCGGTCGCGTTCTTTCGGAAGCGCGCAAGGAATGCTGGGGGAATGAGGGGATACAGACACTCTTCTCTACGTCAGCCAGTAACTGCTGAGATGGAGTAGGGTTAGTTGCTGGCGCAATCAAAATTGAGGCGTTTCTTTGATTGGTGACCCCGAGCACGTTCACTGCTAAGGTCATTAGTCCCGTAAGTGTAGTAAACGTTTTATTTTTGGTGAATGCAGCGGCGGCGGTTATCCCGCTGGATGGCGGGACCCAACGTACAGGTCGCTGGATTTTCCTCAACCAGGTATCTCCCTCCAGCGGAGCTCCGCTCCAGCCGGGTCCAACGTTCCTGCCAAGTTCAAAGATCCTCACTGGCGGCAAAACATGTGTGGTAGTGTAGTGCATGAAAGTGTATATGTAAGTAAGGGGATGCAGGACGGAATAGGAAAGAAAGATCGCGCGCTGTCCATGGCTCATTTGTTAGGGTACTGCTCCGGCAATCTGTCTGGTATTGATGGGAGACATCAAGGAAAACTACCCATCAAAGTAGGCGACCGCTAGAATTCTCCTCGAGACAGTGACTGAATACAACCCAGCTCTCTCCAGTTATGATCGGAAATTCTACACCGTCAGAACTCAAAACTCAACATCTCTCGGTGAGAGACGCTGCAGTAGCAACAGTTGTTACACCGGTATAGCTGGTTCAGGGTATCAACTGATATCACTACAATTCCTCTGACCGGGAGATTTTAGGGCGCGAATCCTGACGGTGGCATGATTTTCGACCCTAGCTAGATAACTAGGTCGAGTTCAGCCGCTGTCTGGAGGTGAGTTCTAGCGGCCGACTTCTTTGATCTGCAGTTTTCCGTGGTTTCTCCGGTAAACTCCAGGCGAATGCCGAAGCAGTGCCTTAACAAACGGGCCAAGGACCATGGCGATGTTTCCTTATTCATCCTTGTCCTATCCTTACCTCTCTAACAAGCCCTACCATACATCATGGGAGGCCGTTGGGAGCTTAGAGCTTGTCCCGCATTAGGCGGTGCCTTGCATTTGGGAGATACCTTGTTGGGGAGAACCCCTTAGTGGACAGTGGAGGTCGGCGCCTGATCTCGTCATCCAGCGGGGGAAGATGACTGCCACCTCCCGAGGGAAAACACGCACTACACATATAGGACTAACAACCTTAGCAGTAGTCTCGCCTTGAATCACTAAACAACCAATCAATCAACGGTTGTTGCGTTGAGCTATCTGAAACAGTGCGAGCATTTGCAAGTGCAAGCGCTAATGCAGCGGGCGGCGACCAGACACTCCGTAGAGATTGTCCGGCCGCCGCTGTGGCCCCCGCCAACGCAAGCAGCTGCACCGCGCCGCTCCGCGCGTGTGAGGGGAGGGGAGGGGAGGGGAAGGGAGGTGGGAGGGGGCGTAGAAAAGCAAACGGAGCCGCAGGGGGCCGCGCGTGTGTTGTCGCCGCCTGCGGTTTTCGTCGCTCGCAGCGTCCGCTGCAGTGCAGCCAGTGAAGCGACAATTGAAGGGCTGCACGGAATAAGGGTGTAAACAAAGAACTGTTTGATTTGATTGATTGATTAGAGATTTCGGGACCATCAGCTACTAAGTTCAGTACTCCCGATAGTATAGTACATGTTTTCCCCTCCTGAGGAGGTGAAGACCGTCCCCCGCTCGATGATGAGAACCGGCATTTGACCTGCCAGTCGGCTAGTGCGGTTTTCCTCAACCAGATATCTCCCACTAGCGGGACACCAACCCAGATGGGACTCTGTGCACCCGACTGGTCTCCCGGCATACATGGTAGTATAGTGCCTGTAAGTGTGTGTTATACGTAAGGGGTGAGAATAGAACAAGGAAGAGGAAGGAAAGATCGCGCGCGGTCCGTGGCCCGTCTGTTAGGGTACTGCTCTGGCATTCACCTGGTGTTGAACGAAGAAAGCACGGAATACTACCGAACAGACCAGACGGTCGCTATAATTCCCCTCCAGATTGCGACTCTAATTGTCTGCTAGCTATGTAGCTAAATGTGTCGAAAATCCCACCACTGTCGGGGCTCGAACCTACGATCTTCCAATCAGAGGCAATGCAGTGATATCTGTTCATGTCCTCACCTCTTCTGGTAGTAACCAAAGAAATTGACGAAAAGGGGAAGAAATTCCAAGAAGGAATTGGATTTATTTTCATCAAAGTTCGGTACAAATTGTGTGTGAAGTATGGGGAGAAGTACAATCTGCACACGTTTTCTTGAGCTTTGGAATCCCTTCCCCCACCTTTTAACCATAAGTAGTTAAACAGAGGGAGGTGGCTCAGGGCATCAAGCTTCAACTGATGTCACTGCAGTGTCTCTGACCGGGATGTCATAGGGTTCGAGTGCCGACGGTGGCACGATTTTCGACACTAACCAGACAGCTATGACTAGTTCTGTCGCTGTCTGGAGGAATATCCTAGCGGCCAGCTGCTCTGATCGGTAGTTTTCCGTAGTTTCGCCGATCTACACCAGGCGAATACCGGAGCAGTACCCCCAAAACGGGCAACGGGCTTCGCACGATCTTTCTTTCCCATTCCTTGTTCTATCCTACTCCTTACTTACACGCAGTTAAACTTATAAGCACTACACTACCACACATGTGAGGAGGCTGGTCGGGACCTTAGAGCTGAGACGATGTCCCGCTGGTGAAAGAAATCTGGTTGGGGAATACCCCGCTAGCTGACGGTAGGTCGGCATCGGATTTGGCCATCCAGCGAAGCATGATCATCGCCATTTCCCAAGCAAAAAAAACCGCATTACATCTACGGAACGTATGACCTAAGCTGTTGTCGCGCCAGGAATCACTAGTCAAGAAAATCATTCAAATCAGTTCGCATTATCCTTCAACGTAGGCGGGAGAGTAGTTAATCGCATTCCGCATGGAAAAGCATTTCAATCTGCAAGACACTTCGTATGCACGAGTTGTTTTATTCAGGGTTAGCGAAGTATTTTATTTGGGGATTTGGGTCAGGGTTTAGTTTGGGTGAATAGTTTGACAGGGAGACGGTCCTTACAAGAGCACACGAACATCTGCACTGTTCCATTTACGAGTTATGTGCGGGTGCTCTGTATTCTGCAGCCAGTGTTCTGTATTCTGCTCTTTCCACCTGCAGCTTTTGAGTTTGGGGGCCACTGTAATAAACTACATATGTCATTGATTAAACATACGCACGATACATTAATCGATTTGGAAGCTTTCATTCAGCAACTAGGAATCAACTTATTAAATAAATGCTCTCAATGTTTTCAATATATGTTCTTATTTCTAATCAGCTTCATAACTATTAGTCCCCTTAGGGAGAGTGAGTAAGCTGATTTTCTTATGGATTTCGGAAACTGTGGAAGACATGTGCACTTTAAAATCCCTCCTACAACATCTCGGCACAGTAAAATACACAATCAAATGAAACATTTAATAGAAGTATGACCTATAAATAAATTTCAACTATAAAATTCTCTGTGATTGGTCAAACATCTGCACTGTAATGACACTGTATCATTAAGCCTATCATTATGATATAGACTACAATGATCGGAATAACTGGAGAATCTATTTTAAAAGTAAACTGTTCACCGAAAAGAGATTGAAATCCAATGCGCGAAATTTCTGAAAATGGAAAATTTGTTTTTATAATTCAAACATTTTGTTTACAATCTCTTTACAATAAACCAGCTTTGTAGACTTACGTAACCGACTAGGACTCATCAGTAACTATTAATATATTTTATTAACAATAGTTTCACTTCAAAATCTCTAAGGCAAATGCAGAGACATGCATTTTTAAGTCGTGTTGTAAACTAACAGATTTATATTTAAAATATTGGGGTGGCTGTGTAATTTTTGAAATTGTATAAAACTATATTTGTTTATTTCATCAGATGTTGGCATTTTAAACTCAAAGTGAATCATAGCCCAATGCTTTAAACATACCAAGGTGCATTGGCAAAGTCTCCTAATATTTCAGACTGAACTGTTTGGATAATTTGGACATTGGATTTGCTTCTACTGTCCTAGAGCTGAATGCTGGCTTTCAGAATGATTTATGAAAACAGAATAAATTAAAACCACGTATTACACATAACGATAAAAATGCTTCATTTACTGGAAACATAACTCACGAGTGGAGAAGGAGCGACGAGATAATATATTTCTTTCATAGATCAAATTTATCTTTATTGCCTTTTATAATAAATTACTTATTTCTGCTCCGATTGTATAATGCTCTAATTATGAAGCTGCAGCTCGCATAATGGTAGACATAATGATACAGCGTCATTACAGTGCAGATGTTTGACCAATCACAGAGAATTTTACAGCTGAAAAGTAATTATTGGTCATACTTCTATTAAATATTTCATTGGAGTGTGTATTTTACTGTGCCGAGATGTTGCAGGAGGGATTTTAAACTGACATGCCTTCCACAGCTTCCAAAATCGAACCTGCATTCTGCATCTCCATAAGGGGTCTATTAGTTTTGAAGCTGATAAGAAACAAGAACATATATTGAGCACATCGAGGGCATTTATTTAATAAACTGATTCGTATAGTATGTTGAAAAAAATCTTCTTAATCTATTGATTATTGTGCTTATGCTTAATCAATGATACCTGAGAAAGCTTCGTGGCTTCGACTAAATTCTGCCGTTCATTGTAAAAGTAAAACTTATACCAGTTAACTTAGTCGAGTAAGGCCCAAGGATAGCATCCCGTGATCCAATCCCAGGTTCGATTCGCGGTTGGGGCAGAAACTGAGTTGAAGCTTTCTTTAAAATCGTCTCAATTTCTGTAGCTGTGAGAGGAAGGAAAGATCAAACAGATGGAATTTGCTAGTTGCGGTGAAGGGAATAATTGACGTTCGCTATATCTTCTTAACCCCCCAAGCATCGGATTTAAAGGGAGTCACCGTTCACTAGACGGCAAATCGGACAATCGACCCACAATGCCAAATACATACATAAAGTTGTCGAAGAAAGACTCCTGTATGAAGCTTCATGTTATAAGTATTAATGCACGAGCCTGAAGTGTTATTACATTACGAACGAGGAGTGAGCGAGTATCGTAAATTTTTGTACGAGAGTAGTAACATCATTACATCATCATTTCTAAATACACTATTTTTATTTGTTATTTTGGTTTTAATTTTTTCAAATAGAAATCAATTTCTATTTTAAATCATTAAAAAAGGTCAAGAGACAAAATCGAAATAGAAGTGCATTGAATTTTCCTCATACTTCACATTGACCACTTCGCAGTTTTTTTCCGGCGATGAGTAGCAAAAAATATCTTGAGTAAGGGCGATCGAAGAATATCCGATAGGTCTCCGTATCTGGTTTCATAGATGACGCCATCTATCCGGACCAACATCGTTACACCTCCGTCAACACGAACTCTGGCTCGTGATCCATCTTATACTGCTCTTGCTTATAGTAGCGAACGCCTGGAGATAATGTCAAAAATAGGTGTCCTGAACACGTAGCTGTGTCTCTAGTTTTACACTGCTAAAGAGCTGGACATAAAACATACACATCTATCTCTGATTAATCACTTAATGGATCGGTACTGAATAGTTATGTTAGATTAATATGCAAATGTGTGGCTTTTTCGTCGAGAACACTTTGCACTTTCTTGTTATCGCATTTTAAAAATGTTCCCGACCTAGGTATAAACAGAGACTACTAAATAAATCACAATTCAGGAGAATATCGGATGAAAATAATCAATATTATATAAAATTTGATCACTTTTCAATTTTTTATAAAGAGAAAAAAGTTTGTATTTAGTTTCAAATTAATGAATTTGAAAATTTCTACGTTTATTATGTGTTCTAAGACACCTACAAGCTCATCATTTGATTATGTTTTCAGTGCTATACTACGACTAATGAAGGATATCCAAACAAGTAGCCCCTAGTAAACAAATAACAGTAAAACAGATATTAGTGATTTATTGTTTTGCAGACCCGGCAAAATCCATCAACACACGCTCGCGCATGCCCTCACATATGATCTCTCTCACAATTTACACCCTTTCACTGTCACTGTCACTAAGTGACCTTTCTCTACTCTCTTTCTCAACCTTTCCCTTTCTCTACTCTCTCTCTCTCTCTATCTATCTATCTATCTCTATCTTTTATCTCTTGCTCTCTCTCTCTATCTCTCTCTCTCTCAAACACACACTCTCTCTCTCTCACACACACTCTTTCTCTCTAACTCTCACACTCCAATATTTGAACTGCTTGACGGAGCCAGATGTATGTCTCTCGGCCTATTAGCTTCCGTATCTTTATGAGAGCATCAGCTCTAAAATTCCTCACATTTGGACCTCGACCTAACACAAAGTCCCTTTTAAGGACAACATATATCTCGTTTCCAGCAAATGTAATTCCATTTTTCCTCGCTTGGTTTGCAATAGTCCATCATATCCTTTATTTATGAGTGTGTAGGATTGTATTTATTGTCTCGGGGCAAAAATATCTCCTAACATTAATTTTGATTTTCAACATTGTCACATATCTGGATATTGTTTTACCATTCCCGGTTCAATCGGCAAAATTGAAAGGAAATAAAACTGTGTAATAATATATTTTTATATTTGCTCAGAAAATGAATACTAAATAATATTAACCCATGGGTTGTTATCTCAAAGCAAGTTAATTTTTAAACAAAAAAGGTTCCGTGAAAATAGTACTATCTACCACGGTGCTTGAAAGGATGTACTTAAACATACAACTTCTGATTCCAAACTACGGGAAGTAGTTAAGTTTTCAGAATGATGTATTGGAAGTATATTAATGTATTGATAGCTGAGAGGTAATGAAACATGTTGATTCGGGTAAAATGATTAACGTTCATGCATCAGAAAATGAGTGACGAAAATTGTCTGCTTATACTGTAAGATCCATTCACAAACTGTGTAAAACTCACAAGACAAACACAAGACGTGTGGTGTTTTTCAATTGACATCGATGACCTCATTTAATATTCGATCAAAATTCATTGTAATGCACATAGAACATGATTTTTCAGTTTAGAGTAACTTTTTAAGTGAAATTTATTTTCTTAAGATTAATTTTCCGTCGGAGTCTAAACATATTCATGGGCTGCAATTATCTTACAGTGTCTAGACAAAAGAAGAAAATTGTAACTCTATACGTTCGTCATAATACTGAATATAACCGATAAACTAAATAGTGTTCTCCAACGTGGTAGATTTGGCATCGGCTTGTGACACCGCGGAGCCTGGATTTTCTTTCTCTTTCTTATTATCCTACATATTAATAATGACGAAAATATTAATTGAATACTTAAGGGAGTGTCGTGAAAGCAATGGTTGAAAAATTCTTCACCCTACAAAAATATTTTACTTTATTTGAAAGAAACTACGGGTGAACTACGGGTGATAAAATGTATATCTATTCTTTGGCCGTTCCGAGCAACGACGCACGCGCCCTTGGCGGCGATGCAGTAAACTATTTATTCTGACGTAATCCATGATTTTTTTTTGACAGCCCTGGTAAAATCTGTTACTTTTAGAGCAAACAAAGTTTGGTAAAGTTCGAAAAGTGAGACATGCTCAAATCCGTTAAAACGATGAATAACAGCAATAAAAATACTTTTGTTTGAACGCAGCAGCTACTTCTGAACTTATATAACATTGTGATTTGTTTGTTTGAATTAAAATAAAATGAATGCCAGTAAGGCTGTCTAAAAATTTGAATATTATAAAAGTATATATTTTACATGACGATAAAGGTGCTTTATCGTCTTGTGTAATAAATTACTGTTATCATGTACATTTTATATCCCGTATCTTTGAAATTTCTCTTGTAACGATTCTGTTATACTCTAGGTCTATATGAGTGCACTTTTATCCAGACTCAGGAGGTTCTGTGGTAGGTCGAGATGGTGTGTTTGCGAAGTGGGGCACGCTTTTAGCAATTCTCATATGACCGGATGCGGCATGCAACTTCATTAAAGCAATTCTCGCAAATGCTTCTACATGAAATGGTGGCCTCGCATTTCATTTATCTGCTGTCACAAACGGAAAAGCCGTGCTGTTGAGGGGAAAAAGATACCTTTACTTACGAATGAAATATTTTTAGTGTGAAAGCGTGTTTTAATAAGAATTGTAGTCTTAATATTTTATTTTTATTTATTTATTTACATTGTTTGGACCCTTGGAGGATCACGTAAAGCAAATCATGACTTTTTGCTGTTATTTTTCTTTTTCTTCCAGAATTTTTTCATCATCCCGCTATGCTTAGCTCGACGTTCATCTGTCCATTTTCCTCTTGGTATCTTTGGTTTGTCTTTTGGTACAATTTCCCAGATATATATGTTGTGTCTGAAGATGTTTCGATCTTCGATGTCTCCCGGTGAGATGTTGCCATTTTTTAGACCTGTTTGTACCTGTTTTACCCAGAGTGTTGTCGTTTTCAGTTTCTTTAAGTACTTCAAATTTTCTTTGTTAATCAGTTGCCATCTAGTCTCATATATTTATTATACTCATAATATTTTTTATAATTACTTCTATATATTTGTTTCCTAAGAGTAGTATTTTTATTCAAATTATTTTCAGAAATTTATTTGTTCTCAAAGTGTGTAACGTTAATTACTTTATCAAAAGAAATATTTTTGTATTTTGCTCGGTTATTACAGAAGTACAAGATTAGCGCCGTAGTAATTCGTTTTCTAAAAGCTATCATGACATATCATGTCCTATTTTATCTTATTGCGAAGTCCAATATTTTATTTAACCCGAAACAGAGGACTACATACACGACGCTTCTAAATATTAAGACTCTTTTTTAATTTTGTTTATAATTTTAAGTTCAGTAAAACTGACGATTAAAAAGGCAAAATTCCTTTTCCTATTTAAAATGCACCGAACACGAAACATGAAAGGATCTCGCGCTGTAAACACTGCCTTGGCTTTGATGAAGGTGACGAATGTTTCGAAGGTCTCAAATGACTCATCTTCCCGGACACAAACTCTTCGACCTGCCTCAAGATAGCTCACGGTCAGCATCAAGGGCAGAGAATTAACGGCCCTGAAGTAAGACCATTAAACCAAACCACCCAGCTATAAATGCCTATCGGCGGTTAATTAATGCCTCAACGCTACTCAGTAGCTCCAACAATGCAAGCAGACATTACAAAGAGTTTCTCTGACGTATCACGTGAAAAAACAGTCTAATACGTCAATGGACTGTTGCTGTCAATGGAATGTTGGGGCGGGGCCCTGTTGAACTTTGGTTTCATAAACAAGAAAGTACCAAATGCATGTAACAGAACACACAGTGGTTTCATAAACATACTTCAGGCCTATGACTGGGAAGTTCTAGGATTCAACTCCCGACGGTAGCAAAATTTTCGTCGCAAGCAACATAGCGAGGTCGAATTTAGTCGCTGTCTGTAGGAGAATCCCAGCGGGCAGCTGCCCTGATCGGCAGTTTTCTGTGGTTTCTTCGATCAACACCAGGCGAATACCGGGGCAGTGCCTAAACAAAAGGGTCGCGGACCACCCGCGAACTTTCCTTCCTCTTTCTTGTCGTATTTTCACCCGTATTTATACTCAAACGTACACACTACACTACCACACACTAAATGCACAGCTTGTCCTCCCCTCTTAAATGTTACTACTCTAAATGTATGTAAATTCAGTGGTTAGGCGGAGGAGCAGGCCCTATGGCCAGACCCTCGCCATTAATAAAGGCATTATTATTATTATTATTATTATTATTATTATTATTATTATTATTATTATTATTATTTTACCACACACATCTCGGGAGACCGGTCGGAAGCTTAGAGCGTGTCCCGGCTGGGGCGGTTCCCCGCTGGTAGGAGATATCTGGCCGGGGAAAACCACGCAAGCGAACATGTAGGTCGTCACCGGATCTCAACACCGAGCGAGGAGAGATCGCTGCCACCTGCCGCGATAAAACATTCACTACACCTACGGTAATATTGACCTTAGAAGTCGTTGCGCCCGGAACCACTAATCAATCATTTTTTTCTTCTTTCATGTCTTCATCATCCTCCTCCTCCATGTCCTCCTTCTTCTGTTTCATCTTCACCTCCGTTTTCTACTTTTTCTCTTCCATCTACTCGGTGTCACAGGTAAGGGAGGAGGAGGACTCCGCACCACGAAAGCAATGCAACACTTCATAGAAAACGACTTCCTAATATATCAATAAATTCCTAATACACCCAATAAATCAATTGACAGATGACGACGATTCGTAGCGTTGAACTATTAATAGTATACAATCAAATTGTCGTGGATATAGAATTTCTTTTTGTACGGGTTAAATGTATGCCAGCTGCCGCGATTAGACGTGAAATATCAATGAATATTTTTGATTGACCGTTAATTATTTGTATTCATGTATTTTGTAATTAGATTTGGTGAAATTATTAAATTTTATTGTTGAGTATTGATGAGACTTCGACATGATAACTAATTTACTAATTTAACTGAGTGCGTTAGCGCATGCAGTTGCGAGATTATAACAGACGCTATCTAGAACGGGAGACCCTGGGTTCGTGTCCCGACCGCTGGATTTTCGGTCCCAGCTCAGTGGCCTGGTAGAAGCTGGTCACTACCTGGGAGTTGCTTATTGTTGCGTTGTACGCATTACTCCACGTTTCGTTCATGTCTACCAGGAGGATAAATCCCTGAAGTTGTCACCTAGGCCTTTTGCTTTATTCTCACTCCCCGCGGGTGACACGTCCGCTTCGGATTATTGGTATCCGGACTCCGCAGTTATCCCTCTCGGAAACCTCCCCATTCAATGCCTGGGTGGGACCACCATACCCGCTCAGAGCTTCTCGCCTTTCATGCCAGTTCTAGACTCGAAACAACGCGCCACTCAAAGTGCGACGAGTCACCTCTATGCCCAGAGTATCGGACCATTGCCACGACGAATGCAAGTGCCCAACTAGGGGCCATACAGAATAGGGCGCCGGGGGCTCGTGGCCCCCAACCCGTGTCCTCACTGCCTCCACCTTGAAGCTATCGACGTGAGTACCGCCGGAACCTACGTAACCCTAAAAGAGGGTTTATGCACCAAGTCGGACTTTTATACGTGGGATCGGGAGAATCCCCTTCCCCAATCCTGCCCAAAAGTCGGTGGCGAACCACTTCCTCACTGCCTACATGTTGTAGCTAACGACGTGAGTACCGCCGGAACCCAGGCAACCGGTCAGGGGGATTCATGCTCCTCAACTGGACTTTTATGTGAGGGATGCGGAGAATTCTGAGAAACATCCTTCGCCTAAAGGTTGGCGCGCCAGAGGACCGCCTGGTGGGTCACCAGCCAAATCCGGCAACACGGAGCTTAGCAACGCCTACTCGCTGACTTCTCCTTGAAGCTAACAACGTGAGTGCCGCCGAGTAACTAGGCTACGACTGTGCGTTACCTTGTCCGCTAAGAACCTCAGGTCTTGCGACCATCTGCCCTCCCCTCCCGCGGGGCGACGAGGATTATAATAGCCGGCTGCTCTTATTGCTTGTTTCTGTTGTTTTCTCGGGCTGATTTGCGACTGCCGGAGTAGTTCTTTACATAACGAACCATGGATCACGCGCTTTCTGTCTCCTCTGCCCTGTCGTCCTTTCATCGTTTGGGCGCAACGATGAGCTGATCTTCTGCGGATATGAAGCGAGTCTGATCTTCTAAGGATTGAATATGAAGAACTTTCGGGCATGGCCAGGTATTTTTGCACTTAGAGGAGCCGTCATTTTGCACATTTTTATATCACTATTTGAAGCATTGAATGAAGAATGTTTTCTGGGGAATGTGAAAATACAATAAGCGCATCACTTTATGCGAATCATTATGCGTTCAGGATTTTTTTATGCATTCTTAACTTACGTATCGCCCCAAAATCGAAGAGAAATAAATTACTGATCACAAACGCTGTGGCTTAGGAGTGTTTTTATCTTACATTATACAGATAGACACATATCTTCATAAAATCTTCATAAAACTCTTTCTTCTCGAAAATAACGACCAGAGTGACAAACGAATCTCTCGAAATGACTTGTATAAAATACCTACTTACGTAGCATTTTGCAAAAACGTCCTATTTTGCGTAATGATTCATTGCCTACCAAGGCCATAACTCATTTCCCTCGGTAAACATTCCCTTATTCACAACTTGTTACATAAAATCGTCCGTTCTATTACATGCTGTAAATGAATGCAGTGTTGATTTTGGTAACACCCACTTTCATTTTTCATGCATTTTAGTGCATGCACAATGTTCTTAAATTAGTAATTTCAAGAAATAAACGCTACAGTTTCGTTATGAAAACCTATCATGATGATATTTCATCTTTATGATAACTTAAATCACATGCTTGAAATGTTCATGCAAGTCCCTTTGAAACATCAGTTATACATCTGCAACTAATGTGTCTCATATAATTCAGTATAAACGAATTCGTGTATAAAATTTCCAAATGTTTCGCTTTGTGAGACACATCCATTCAGTTGTAAATCTGACGGTTTCTGCACACAATGCTTCTATGACGTTCGCGCATGCAAGCCATTTTGCCAGCACTCTGAATTACACATACCCAAACGTCCACCAGATGTCGAAGCACAGCACGTTGAGCCAAGAGAAGTTCGTCAACAGCCAGAAGAGGAGAGTGTAACCTGCGAAGGAAAAAAATATTTCCAAATCTAACATCTCAAACTTCTGGAGAGAATGACGGCCTAACTGGACTTTCTATGGTTTGGAATGAGAAAAACTGATCAGAAAACTTTAGTTTGTGACGAAATAGTACATCTAATCCATTCATAATTGTGTTTTTTAGAACCTACAAATTGGATAGTAATTGTAGTTTGAAGAAGAGTCATACACGACTCGAGGACGACTTCATATGTGAAGTCGAAAAGTTGTACAAAGTACAACAGGTAGAAACACTATGAAAAGTTTTCATGGTATATTTCTGCCAGCATTTCTGATTGTAAATATTACTATAGTCAATACTATACATTTTCTCTTTTGTTGTTGTATAATGATCTCAAATATTAATGACAATTCAGTTTGTCATTTTGGGCGATCGTTTTGTCACGCAGGAAACTACTTTATCAATCGTAACATAAGCTTCGATGGTAATAACAATAATAATAATAATAATAATAATAATAATAATAATAATAATTTTATTCATGTATAAGCCAAAATATCCCGATTAAATCAAATTTCGATTTAATGTACAATTTCGTCACCAAAGATTTCACTTACCGCATTACCAGAATATTTTTACTTTATTTTCGGAGCTTACGCCAGCTGAACATAAATTAAGTATACTGCGCTACAAAACGAGGATTGCGTCTGCAAAATATAGTAGCGTTTATTTTCTTTCTGTGCTTGGGAGACAGGAAAAATATCCGTTTACATCTTAAATGGAATTTTATCTTTATATCATATAACATTAATGACAGGGATACTGTTGAGAATCAATTTTTTAAAGTAACTTTGTAATTTATACTACAACAATGTCTGCTATAATTGTAGGCAGGTACATGAACCCCATAGTACGTGTTACACTTTAATCATAATCCTAAATCATGGTATACCGAAAATCTACCATAAACTCCTGGCACTAGTGTGTCGTACGAGAAGCGAATTGAAAACTCTTGTATAGTAATTTGGATGCTTGTAACAAAACGGGAGCGGTTGATATGCACGCGCCTGTTAGCACGCGGAAAGCCTTTAGAAGTTAATTATATGTACTTAAAATATCACAATATTTTCATTTTTACAATTCAACGCTCGAAGTAAATTGTGAGAAATATCTTAGTCACATTTAATGTTATTTTGTTCCATGCTTGTAAGTTTCCTAAATGTAGTTTGGCCTCTCAAAAAAACATTTATGGTGTTCTTCTGATTCAAACGAATATCTAGAACTTAGTAAACTTATACTAAGCAATCACCGAGACTCTTGTGCTTGTAACGTCATCTGTGAATCCAGATTTAATAGTGGATCTATTTTAAGAAATGTCAACAGTATGTAACCAAACGTACAATGAGTTTGTGATCGTTGTCTTACTGTTACTCCTATTATTTCTACCGTTCCCCTTCAGTCGTAAACAGTGAATTGCCCTTTCTTACGAATTGTGGCTCCAGAAACTTTAGCACGATACATAAACAAGTCTCAGTGAAGGATGAACAAAGGTTCTATAAAGTGTTTCACACTTTATGATTTCACAATGATGAAAAAATTACCGTGTGACACAGGGTTAAAATGATGCCGCAATCAGTAGTTCTGGAGGGTGCATTGACTCAATATTCGTATTTTCTGAGTTGTGCCGCTATGTGCCACCTTCAGTGATGTAAATGTAAACGAAAATCAGATAATACAGAACAAATACCTAAGAACCATCACCCAAGCCCTCTGGTTCTTTCTTGCCAATAATTTATATTCTAACCTACCCCTCATTAATCAAGATAGATCTAGAATAAAAACAGCTATCCTATCCATTCTTTTCTGAACCTTGTTGCTGGCCTTAATGATTTTTAGAGGTACTCGGTGAATCCCCTCGTCCATAATTGACAACTATTGTTACAGTACTTTAGATTAGATTTCGTTTATAAGTAATTAGATTTAATCCAACAATACAAAAAATGTTTTATGTAAACTGAACTCTTTGAATCAATCTTATTAAAAATAAAATTAAATAAAACTAATCGAGCGATGCCAAGAGTGATAGGAAAAAAGGAGTAGGGAAGCGACTCACCAAATCAGAGTTTGTAATAAAAATGATACTTGCACCATTCTCTTAAACATTCTTCACACTATCCAACAATTAGGTTTAATCAAAAGCGATGGAACCATTTTTTTGAAAATTTGGAAAATTTCCCAGAGGTTTCCTATAAAGTACTTCCCAAAATTAAAATATCGGTTTCAAATTAAAGAGGCCGCGACATCAACCATATCAATTAGGAAATATCAGTTTTCGATGAAATAGGTTTAACCGTTTAACCGTTAGCGTTGTTCACAGACAGTCAGGCAGAGGGAGGCTTTGGCGTCATTCGATTTTTCGGTATCAAGGACCCGAAGAACATGTATTCTGGCTACATCACGTGTTAAATGATTTTTTTCTAAATTTAATAACTGGATTTACTCACTTTTTGGTTGCCAGGGTCCTGTAACAAGAATTTTTCCGCCGAAATTTCGCCGTTTTTGCGCGCAGCGTGACATAACTTTCTCTTACTACGTGAGCGGTAGTGAGAAAGCAAAGAGGACGAAATGAGGGGAGAGACTCACCGATGGCCTTGCACACGCCGCGCTCGATGCTGAGCGAGGTGAGCTGCGCGACGGCCAGCACGACGAAGGCGACGAGCTGCGAGCCCGCGTGCGCCATCACCGTCTTGCCGTGCAGGTTGCGCAGCGCCGGCAGCAGCGCGTACGTAGCCACCGTCAGCGCCAGCGCCGCCGCCGACAGCAGCAGCCCCGTCGTGCGCAGCGGGTACACCAGCTGCAGCTCCAGCTGCTCCTCCTGCGCACGCGCCCACGCGCCCACCTCTCCCAACATGGCGCTCGCTCCAAGGGGTGGACGAGGGTGAAAGAGAGCGTCAAGGAATGGCAGCACTGGGAAGAAGTCTAAGACACTCATTACGGGATCTAATATCAATATGCGCAGCGGGTACACCAGCTGCAGCTCCAGCTTCTCCTCCTGCGCACGCGCCCACCTCTCCCAATATGGCGCTCGCTCCAAGGGGTGGACGAGGGCGAAAGAGAGCTTCAAGGAATGGAAGCACTGGGAAGAAGTCTAAGACAATCACTACGGGATCTAATATCAATGTGCGCAGCGGGTACACCAGCTGCAGCTCCAGCTGCTCCTCCTGCGCACGCGCACACCTCTCCCAATATGGCGCTCGCTCCAAGGGGTGGACGAGGGTGAAAGAGAACGTCAAGGAATGGAAGCACTGGGAAGAGGACTAAGATCAGTATGCACAGAGGTATACTAGCTACTGTTCCAGCTGCTCCTTCTGCACACTTGGCCGCCGCCAGCGCGCACCGCTCACACAGTGCTCCAAAAGAAAGGGCAGGAAAGAGTTTCAAGAAATGTCGGAACTTTTCAGATGTCAATGTGCGTAGCGAGTACACCAGCTGCAGATCCTCATGCGCAGGAGACACCGCTCACATCGCTGCGGAAAGTTGTGGAGGAGGCCAGAGTCACGAAATGTCAGCACTGGACTGGTGTGTAATAGCAGTGTGCGAAAAAGATACATCAGCTTCAGCCACTGCGCACACGACCGTGCCCACTCCGCACCTCTCACAGTGTGCGAAACATAGCGCCAAGACGTGTTAACAGTGAGCAGATATCTAAGTCAATCAAAACGGCATCTAACACCAGCCAATATGTGCATCATTTTTTTTGTTTATGTTAAAATGACCGCCGATTTCATTGACCCTCTTACGTTATTCTGTATAAATTATCATTCATGATCATATCACAAATAATTTCCAAGAGATGTCATAAAGTTAACAATTTCGTATACGAATATTTGGTAATTATTTATATTTTCAACAATCAAAGATGTTTCGCTTTCTTCTTTGGTGTACAATTGTTAAAAAATATTGTAGGGATTTTTCCTGACCGTATTTCTTTAGTTTGTGTTGCAGAGAATTTATTATTTGACGACTGTATATCATGAGTTGTAAGTACGTGCATAGTTAAAATATGTTGAATGTTCCAAAGATTTTAAAATTATTGTGGATACAAATTCACCACCTACAAAATAGTGTACATCGTTTGGAGCACATCCTAGTGTTGCAGAAGGCGGGCTTGTTTGTTGCTAGTTTGTGATAGTCAGTGGTTTCCTGAAAAAATATTCAAAATACTGAAGACACAGATTGTCATTCATTACTTTTTTCCTCTCATGGGCTTTGTAAAATATCATTTTCAAGTTATTAAAATGTAGTGACGTTTCTATCCCGAAAGAATACTCGATACAAATATTTCTTGTTTTATATGATTGCCGGTAGGGAGTAGTAATAAAAATTGAATAAAAAAGACGATCAACCTTTTGAGATACAAAATGCCCTAATGAGAGCGGAATTAGTAGTGGAATAGTCTTTATAATACTCGGTAACTAATAAGAGCTTCATTAAATCCTCTAGTGTGTAGTTCGTACCGTAAAAATGTACCAACTAAAGAATATCAGCAATCTAAATAAAACATAAGTAGACACATCGTGACGGATTATTTTATTTAAAAGTCATCGTTGAAATTACAAAATCGTAATTACGGTTTTATTGACCGCTTCCCTTAATTTTTGGCCATTTACCAGAGGAAAATAATAAAAACAAACTTGCTTGAAACAAAATTATTTTTATTTCAAAATAAAAGTAAAAGGACATTTATGAAATTCCAACAATCTCAATAAAGGACAATGAAATATCATATTGTGGTTTTATAAACATTGAAAATTGTAAATTATTTTATTTTAAAATATACATCAATAAAACAATGAAGTTAATCCATCCTTTGGTATGAGCTTGTGTCCACGTATCCATTCCGCCAAATACCGATAAGGGATTGGTCGAATGCAGAAGCGAATAATCAACCAGCTTTGGTCTGAAAAAATGGATTTGAATGTGTTTGCAACCATCATTTAATATACAGTGTTTTACCGACAATTTTTAGAACGGATGCAAAGAGAATATATTAGATTCACAAGCGTTAAAAATGTCCCAATTCAAGCTTCATCAGATAAAGCATGAGGAAAGAAAATGTTTAGAACATTCAACATATTATAACTACTCGTATGCATGTAGTTACAACGAACGACATGAATATGATGAAATGTGAATTGCAAAATCGAATTAGTGGTTAAGTCTACATCGCACGCTCACGTTGAAGGTGAAGTCAAAGCATCGGAAGAGCACGCATGCATTAATAGTGAAGTCTAAGCTTCATTACCGCACGCTCGCATTAGAGGTGAAGCCTTAGCATTAAAATAGCACTCTAGAACTAGTAATGATATCTAACTTTCGGAAGCGCACGCTAGCAGTAATGAAATAAATATGGTGAATTATGAATTGGAAAATCGGATCAACGGTGAAGTCTAAATTCCGAAAGCGCACGCTAGCGTTAGTGAAGAAAAGCTTAAGTCTCCTCCCGCACACACATGCGGATTATAAATTTTTGAAAGCGCCCGCTAACATTAATTGAAATAAGAATTGCAAAATCACATTAATGGTGAAGCTTCAAAATCGCAAACGCATGCTTGCATCTGCGGTGAAGTCTAAATTCCGAAAGCTAGCGTTAGTGAAGACAAGCTTACGTTTCCTCACGTACGCTCTCGTTAGAGGCGTGGTTTGGGGAAGAAAATGAACGGAGCCAAAACTACTCCTTTCTCACCATGTGGTGGGTCCTTATGCAGCTGATAAATTTCCCAACGCGAACGCGACCATTAGTGGTATGAGTTCGACGAAATATGAATTTCAAAATATTATTGGTGGTGAAGCATGAAAATCGCTAGTTCGCTTTAACAGTGAATCTCCGAAAGCACACCCTAGCGTTAGTGAAGAAAAACTTAAGTTACTTCACACACGCTCTCGTTAGTGCCATGGTTGGGCGAAGAAAATGAACGCTCTACTACCTCTGCCATGCGGTGGGTCCACATGCAGATGATGAAGCACACGCTAACATTAATGATATATGATGAATTATAGATTGCAAAATCGCTTGAGTTGTGAAGCACCAAATTCGCAGGTTCGCATTAGCATTCAAGTCTAATTTCCGGAAATGCACGCTAGCATTAATGATATGAATAAGATGAAATACATGCAAAATCGCATCAGCGGTGAACTCTAAATTCTGAAAGCGCACGCTAGCGTTAGTGAAGACAAGCCTAAGTTTCCTCACGTATGCTCACGGCTTGGTTTCGGGAATAAAATGAAGGCTTGTCCTACCTCTCCCATGCGGTGGGTCCGCATGCAGATGAAGGCGTGCACTCCCAGGACGAGCCCCGTGGACAGGGAGGTGTTGGCGTGCTCCACGCAGTAGCCGTCCAGCGTGTACATCTTGGAGAACACCGGCCTGAAGACGCGGCCGTCCCGCTGCAGGTGCCAGCTGTCGTCCGGGTACTTGGTCGGTTCCAGCAAGTGGATCCCTACGTCACACGCACACACACACCGCTCGGGTCAAACCCCTAAAAGAACCTTGTATTTTCAACATTCAAAACATCCATGATTTGTTTGTACCAGACTGCATTTGTATTTGTATTTTTTGTGTCAGAAAAACTTGTACGTGTCTAATGGATACAGGATCCTCACATAGTCACACAAACACACACAGACAGACAGACACACCCGCGCAGACACACAGACATCACTTGGGCACACTGCTGAAAAAATCTTGTTCGTTTAATACTCAACAAATCGAAAAACTTTGCAGTCCAGAATATTTTTCGAAGAGTGTCAGGAAAACTTGGACGCCCCTGGTGCGTACATCCTCACATAGACACAAACACACACACACACATACACACACACACACTATCAGTTGGTCACACTCCTGAAAAAGTCTTGTTCGTTCAATACTCAACAAATCGAAAATCTCTGTATTCCAGAATATTGTTCGTAGAATGTCAAACATTCTCGTTCGTCTGTAGTGGTAATAAAGTCTACACACACCACAACAAGATGACACACAGCACGACAAGATGGACGGCACCACAGCATGCGACGCAGCAACACCGATCACCCAAGATCATCTGCTTGTCCCATCTGTGTCTGTAATCTCTCAGGATAAGATACATTGGGGGAAATTTTACAGACTCACATATAGGTCGCAGGGGATCTGAAATTTTAGAGACGGAGCTACACTGTCACCTCCCGGGATATACTGCTCAGTCTGTGCTAGTAACCTGTGCACTTGACACGCTGTCAGGAACTTAGAGGTTCACCCGCCTGGAACGGTGGGCCGTGATGGTGCTACGTGGAGGGGAAAATGCTCAATGAAATGTGTAATTAGACGCCTAATCTCATGTTGTGGTAGTGAAGAAATGCCGTCACCTTCGAGTTATGTGCACTAGACGTTCGGGAATAATGGCCAAAGCAGTTGACGCACCAGGAATCTCCGCCCATCCAACCATTCACGCACCGAATCTGAAGAGCAGGCAGATGCTTTCAACTTTGTACCAGCTGGGAATGATGGCAATGGGTGAGATATCTTGAAGGGGAAACCATCGTTCCTTGCTTGCTTGCTGTTTCTTTCTTTCTTCCTTCCTTCTTTCTCTCTCTTTCACTGTCTCTCTCACGCACACAAAAACACTCGAACGCGCTCGCACTCACAACCACACATATACTCGCAAAAAAAGTTGGTACCATAGAGCTTGTTTCGGGTGGAGTTGTGTCTCGGGAGGGGGAAATTACTAAAGGCAGGAAATTCCGTAAGCCAACACGCGGTTAGTGTCAAATTTTGATACACGATAGGAATACCGGAGCACCAGCCAAACAAACGGGCCACGGACCGCGCGCGATCTTTCCTTCCTCTTCCTTGTCCTATCCTCACCCTTTACTTACTCACATGCCCTAGACTACCCAACGCACCCTAACTGGAAAGTACGGAGGGGGGGGATCTTGAGAGGAAATCTCTGTAATCTCTACCTCTCTCTCTCTCGCTATCTTACTCTCTCCCTCACCATTCTCCCTCCCTCTTTCTTTCTTTCATTCTGTCATACACACACACACATTCGAGAGACCAGACGGTAGAGTAGTGCTTCTCTCGGCTGGAGCGATGTCCCACTGGGGGAGATACCTAGAGGTAGGAAAAGAGCGCTCACCTTCGTCGCACTGGGGCTTCCTCTCGATGAATGCGAGGCTGGCGGGGGCGGCGCTCTCGGCGAAGGACGTCTTGAAGTCCAGCTGCAGCGGCACCTCGGATCTCACGCATCGCTTGCCCACGAAGGAGTGGCCCAGCGGGCAGCACTTGGACACGCACGCCGCCCCGGCCCCGGCGCCGCCGTCGCCCGCCGCGCGGCCCCAGCCCTCGCCCCCGCACGCGGACGCCCGCGCCGCGCACCGCGCCACCACCACCCGCGACGCCGCCCCCGGCCCCGCCCCCGCCAGCGCGTCCACGCACGCCTGCGCTGCGTCCGGCGACGCCGCCTGCAACACGCGGAAGCACAACTCACGCTGGACACGGCCACACTGAAGATTCACACAAGACATACACTAGATGTGATCAAAAGAATCCGGACACTTCCAAAATGGTGTTATGGTGTCGTCGTGTTTTTCTTGGAGGGGATTGCACCCCTTGTTGTTTTGTGTGGCACATCACGCCACAGGCCTACAGTTTGATGTTTTAAATACCTTCTTGCTTCTCACTGTTGAAGAGCAATTCGGGAATGACGATTACATCTTTCAACACGGTCGAACATTTGCTGATATTGAACAGCCTGTGGCGGAGTGATTACACGAAGGTGACATCCCTGTAATGGACTGGCGTGCGCAGAGTCCTGACTTGAATTCTATTGAATACATTTGAGATGTTTTGGAACGTCGACTTCGTGCCAGGCCTCACCGACCTACATCGATACTTCTCAGTGCAGCACTCCATGAAGAATGGGTTGCCATTCCCCTAGAAACCTCCCAGGACCTGATTGAAAGTATGCCTGCAAGAGTGGAAGCTGTCATCAAGGGAAAGGGTGGGCCTATTGAGTTCCAGCATTACCTATGGAGAACGCCACGAACTGCTGAGTCATTTTCAGCCACGTGTCCGGATACTTTTGATCACATAGTGCACTTCGATTTTTTTTAAAGGTCCGATGACATTAGATCATTGTTACACTTCCTACCTTATGAATATTTTTAAATAATTCGTAAACGTCCTTCTAAACGGGACTCGTGGCCTCAGAAATGTACTTACCTATGTTAAAAAAATTCATTTTATGCAAGGGCAGGTAGAGTAAGAATGATCTAATGTCATCGGTCACTTTTAAATGAATGGAAGTATATAAGTAGTGCAGCTGATGCACAATCGCCGCGTCAAAATAGTCCGAGAGAGCATCAGCGTGCGACTCCTAAAAATCTTGAATCAGTGATATGCATTTTAGTCATGATTTACTCAGATGCTAGCATCATCTTCACTGCAAAGAAAGGCAATCCAAAAAAAGAAAGGAACAACCGTTGATTTAATATAACGGCGTCCTAGAAAGCATCAAAGTAGAAATAGGTCTCAAGACTTACCAAGTCAATAGTTTGTACAATACTGTACCTCACTGATTTCTTACTTTGTCTGCCCTCAATTCTTCTGTTTACGTTATCTTGGATTATTGGGATACTTTAGTTTGTTTTTTCTAGTCGCTATTTTTAAATGGTCGCCCAGCCAGGGTAGAAGTGCCGAAGTTTTGTCACGACTCCTCACGCCGATACTATGCTTAACGTAGGGCTTTTTCTCCGCACGAATCGTACATCCAACAAACCTCCAGGTCTAAACCACTAACTACCACGGCCGGTGCCTCTCACCCCCCAATTCTCAGAGCCAAAATTAATATTATTGAATTATAATGAACAATGAAGCAGCAGGTTTGTGGTAAATATTGCCTTGATAAAAACGGAGTATGTGACCTTAAAGTGAATAGGTTGTAACATTTTTTCCAAAAATGACTTTTAAGAATATAATGAATGGCGCCAAGGACGTTTACTTTACCATTAAGTTACATTGATGTACGTGACTTAGATTCTGCGATCCAGTTTTAAAATGTACTACCTGCAAAACGTATGTTCAAGTTAGAGAAAAAAGGTTATATCTGCTTTCTTTAGAAAAAGAGACAATTTTCTTCCTATTAGATGCACAAATGAAAGTAATACCGATATTGGTCTCGAAAATTATTTCTTGAAAATAGTTTGGAATGTCCCATTTGGCCGAAATCAACACTGGATATCTAAAACGTTAGTGATTACGCAATGCATTATATTAAATCCCAAAAATTTCACTCTACGGTGAAGCCATTCCCTTGTGAGATAACTACCTTAACACATACAACTACTACCTGTTATTCAGTCACGCCTGAAAGAAATTATACGTTTAGTAGAAATTGACATAGTATATCTAAAACGTTACACTTTCTCTAAGCAATGGGTTTTGTCATATCCCAAAACTTCACACTACGATCAAGCCATTGCCTTTAGGTAAAATATTCGAAGTCTGGAAGAACGGGTGTTCCGATCTTACCTTCGCGCTGCCCTCGGACGTGGAAGAGAAATTCCCGGCGTCGGAGGCGTCTTCGACCGCCTCCACCTCCACGTGTGGGACAACTTGAAAGGTCCGCGCCGTGTCAGGGGGGCAGGCGAGGGACGAGGGGCCGTACCATCCATCGAGCGACTCCGCTGGTCCCACCAATAGCGCCACCAAACCACCACCGCTACCTGAAAAAAAAATTTAAACACATTTCAATATATGCAAATGCATCGCCTATACGCATTGAAAAATATAATCATATGGGGCCATTGAACAACGGATGCGTACATTGGATATTTATTTATTATTTCATATTTCCAGGTGGGTGAACTACCATGGTCATTAGTCCCGAAAATGAATTGCATATTTATTTCGAGAGGGGGCGCTGATCTTTCTCCGCTGGAACGTGAGATCTGACTGGTGGGAAATACCTGGTTAGGGAAAACCCCGCAATCCGACGTACAGGTCGGGGCTGCTGGGTCTCGCCATCCAACGGGGGAAGACCACCTCTACCTCTCGCGATAAAAACATGTACTACACTTACTGGACTAATGACTTTATCGGTTAACGCACTCGGAAACACTAATGAATAAAAAATACAGCGAAATTTGCTCAATACGGAACCTCAGGTGCCAAGTATTTTTTTTTTTTTCGCATTAGACAAGATTCCGTATTATGCGTCGTTTAAATTTATTTGGTAGGGCTGCGATTCATGTTCACATTAGACAGATTTCCACATTGCACACGTTCCGTATTGAGGAAGCTTTACTATAATGTATATTTATTAACAGAGTTATTTGGCAGATTGTCAGTTGTTAAACTGTCAGCCAATCGGGACTGTCGTCGGGCCAATCGGGGGAATCGTCACAACTGTAGGTGTCATCCAGGCTCCCGATTCGATCCAATCGGAGACTTGAACGTCACAACTGTAGGTGTCATCCAATTCGATCCAATGGGGGCTTAGACGTCATAACTGTAGGAGTAATCCAAGCTCCCGATTGGATGACACCGTAACGTCAAGGGACTCTCTGTTTAAATCGAACTAGAAGGTGCGCGTGGAGCGGCTCACCTGGCAGGCGCGGCGCGACGCGCAGCGTGCGCGCGGCCGGGAAGGGCTGCGCAGGGCGCGCCAGGGCCACGCACGTGCGCTTCTCCAGGCTGAGCGCGAAGCCCCTGGGGCAGCACTTGCGCAGCGCCGCGGCGCCGCCTCCGCTCGCCGCCACGCGCACCACGGCGCCCTTCGCCTCCGCGGGCGCCGGGGCCGCGGCTGACGGCGGGGGCGCCGGCGGGGACCAGGGCGCCACCCTCTCCGCCTCTGGGCACATAGGAAAGAAAAACAGGGATCATTCGGTATGGAGGTACAGATGCGAAAATGCTGCAGAACGGAATCTCATGAAATAGCTCAAGAAAAGTACCACGCTCACAGGCCAACTCCATCAGCAGTCACGAAAACTGAAATGACAAAGTATAGTATAACTATGGAATACAGTACAACAATTCTCTTCATGTCAAGAATATCAAAAGAGTGACGGGGAGAGCAAGGCGATGCGGACTCCGGCACTGAACACACGGGAAACAACAGGATCAATTCGGCGTTGGTTTGGACAACTGGCTTGTACTTGCAAAAAAGCTACAGAGGAAAACCATACAAAATGGATTTCTAAAATGTGGCACGCATACTACAAGACAACAAATATATTTGTCTTCTACAACTCTGCAATAAAATAACAAAAACACTATCAGAGGCCGGGCTCCGTCTCTGAGTACACAGAAAACAAACACGGCTCATTCGGCATCAGTGCGGACAAATGACCTACAGCTGGAAAAATGCTGCTGAACAAAACCTCACAAAGTGGGTTTTCGAAAAGTAGCGCGCTCCTTGCTCGAAGACAACAAATATAATTGCCTCCTACTACACTGCAATAAAATAAGAAAAACAGTATTCACGAATACTGTAATATCGAAGTATAGTATATTTATGGTATAGAGTACAATTCTTTACATGTCAAGAATGTGAAAGGAGTGCGAAGGCGGGGGCGGGGTCCAGGGCCCGATGGCTTCCGGCTCGGCGCTCACGGGAAAGAAAAACAAGATTTACTCGGGGGCGGTGTGGACGAGTGGCCTGCAACTGCAAAAATGCTGCTGAACGAAACCTCTGAAAATAGGTTTTGGAAAGGTAGCAAGAACACTGCTCAAGAACAACAAATATGGTCTGCTGCAAGAATGCAATAAAGTAAGAAATACAGTATTCGCGAATACTGTAATGACAATGTGTGGTGTATTTATGTAATACAGTACAACAAAGATTTCCATGTCAAGAATATCAAAAGAGTGGCAGGAGCGGGAACCAGGGGGCGACAGATTTCCTCATCCAAGTTTTTTCTTTAAATTTGTGTATCGTATGCAGCAAAGAACGGCAAAGATAGTTATGCTATTTCTACTTTGTGAGAACTCTCAGTAGTTTCGAAAATTGCAAATAAAATATTAATATGGCAAAAGTACAACTTTGATAATAGAACTTTTTTGTTAAATGAAATGTTAAAAAAGTCTTTAAAAAATGCCTTGTACATTTTTTTAAATATGAGTTGTTTTGGTAATTTTGCAAATTTTCTAATTTGGAAATAAGAATTTCCCTCGCTGAATTTGCTGATCTTTCGCGAGATATCAGATGGGAACACAACAAAGGCATGCCGCTCCGTAACGTAGCCATTACCACAGACATAAAAATATAATAAAAAATAATATTGCAGATGTGAATAATTAAAATATTACATGTCGTAATTGACCACTCACCATTTAATCAATCATATTCCAAAATATGTATCTCCAAAAAAGTATCTTATTTTGTCATATTATGATTTGAAATAATCGAATAAGTTAGATATTTCAAATGTCCAATTAGGATTATAATTTGCTATTGCTGCCCTTTCATATAATCCATTTTTGATTTTTATAAAAATGTATAAATTGATGAAATGTTAACGAAATATAGGATATCTTGTTGTAGAAGAAGGAAAAGTAGGGTTTTCTTGATTTAAATCTGATTTACAAAATAAGCTGCTGGAAATTAAAATTTAAAACTGATTTGAATGAAATTATGTAAAACATAATTTAACTAAAGCAGCGTCTGTCCGAAGACAGATTTACTGACATTATCCCAAATGACACCTATGAAATTTTAGAAACTCCTTTAAAAGAATGGCGGTTTCTTTGTTCACTAACTAATGCACCATCCCAAGTAACCAATAATGTTATGCAACCATACATGCACAATGCCAAATGTTTGAAGATGATGTCACTTGGGGGTATTTGTGTAGTAAAAAGTGCGTGCGGAAAATTCAGATGAAAACCTTTGACTTCGACATAGTGCTCCAGTGACCTTGTAATTCGATACGCTAGGCGATCCTTGAGAGCGGCAACACTTCCTACTGAGAAGTTCGTGTTTTTTGTTGTTTTTTGTTCGTTTCTGTTTGTTTCTGTTTGTCTGTCTGTCTTTCTCTCTCTCTCTCTCCCCCTCTCCCTCTCTCTCTCTCCCGCTCTCTCTCTCCCGCTCTTTCCCGCTCTCTCTCGCTCGCTCGCTCTCTCTCTCTCTCTCTCGTTCTCTCCCTCTCTCAATCTGTCATCATTTTCCCTTTCTTTTCTTTGAATTCACATCCGCGTAACAAGCTAATTCCATTTAATAATTTAATTTGTCCCCATCATCTGAATATTTCTCCTCCTCATTTGTCTCTTCTTCGTAAACCAGTGCGTTACAATGAAGAATCCCCGTATGCCTAGCTGGTGTACTGTGTCTCATGTTAGTTTTCCTTGTGCTTGGTGCGCAGATGTGAAGTTTCTTTTGCCGAGACAAATACGTAATTAATTTTAAATGTCCACGTCAATAAAGACAGTTCTACGTACTCCGTTTTGTAACACTTAAGCTAAAGTGAAGTCGCTTGCACTAACAAAACATTTAGGTTCACTTTTTGTCCGTTTTTCTGTATTTAAAATTAGACTTCGTCGAACACAAAAGTACGTTTCCTGAAGTACTTATGTACGTTGAGAATACTTGCGTGTCGCGTTCTGACTTATAATTGCCTTTCTTCGACTATAAATTACACTATTTACTCAAGCGTGGTCAGTGGTCAATTCGTTTTGTATTTTTTGCGTACTTACTACTGATTGACACGGTTATTATCGGAGATCCACGTAAATCATTTAATTACATTACGTAAAATAAAATCATTAGGACGAAAGTGGATTACAGATGTTGGACTCGCGAACCCAACTTCAATCCGTCAGCCTCTGAACCGCGCGTTGCATCAAAAAGGTCTGATATTGTGCTTGGATAAATATAATATTAATAAACGTTTATAAACAAATAGCCTACTCTTGTAGGCGAGCATCTTAACCAAGCTCCGTGAAGTCAGGAAGTTAAGCAGTTCGTGACACTGCGAGTCCCTGGATGGGTGACCGCCTGGAAACTCGGGAAACTAACGCTGCTGAGCTCCTGGCCGATAAGGATAAAAGGCAATGTCTTAACTTCACGTACGACTAACTTATATTCAAGGAGGACTACTCCACATTCAACGTCAAGGTTTGCAACGCTGTTTCGCGAGTAACTGAATTTAAAAATATACTTAAGTTCTTGCAATTAAATTGCACAAAATATCAAACAAACGATTTTATTTTACAAAGATTTCGTAATTTTACATGTATCTGGCTACCATCACTTCGGAATAGAGGCGCGCAGAAAACTAAACTTTCCAAAACGTTATATGAGATGCAAAAGTTCTCATTCTGAACATTACAATCTAAAAACAACACTCGGATCCCTCTGGAGATTTGTAGCTTAACATATTTGGCAGATGGGATCTACTCATGTTAATTCATTCGTAGCACGATCTACAACATGCAAAAATTTTAATTTCAAATCTGTTTTCTTGTATTTCACTATTCGTCAGTAGAACATTCCGTGGCTTTTGTGACCATGGGGTTTTATACACCGCCTTAACGATCATATTGCATAAGAGTATATTTTACTATATGGATACTGAAAAATAATGAGCTATTAAAGAAAATATTTAGTTACAGATTTGCATTAACATTTCTAATATCATGGGGTTGTGCGAAACTCATGAAAAATTGTCTTATGTGCCAAAATATGTATTAAGTATGAAAGTGACTCTAATGTATAATTTCATGTGTTGATCAGAAATATCTTGTTCCCCTTTCTTCGAGCAATGAACTCTTATTAGAAGTCCGGAACCCAGATACGAAAGGCAAGCACTCAAGTCTTACGTTGGGATTCCCCTAGCAACTGGTTTCAACGGTGGTCGCCTTGAGACAGACTGAGACGCGGAAAATGTAGAGGGCGCTGTAAAAAGAACCAACCAACCAAACTAAATAACAACCAAATAGACAACTCATTATGAATTATATTTAACTACAAATAAAGCATTTTGCATTCGTAATATTTGTACAAATTTTAAGAATAACAGTATCAAATAATTTTATACTAGTGGCTTGATATAGATTTGTATTTGTCTAAAATGTTAGACACTCAACTATCCTAACAGTTAACGCACGGAAGAGAGAATTAATGCCCATGAGACATTGTATTACTTCATTGGCATCTTCTTCTCACTTGTATAGTACCAGGAACCTCAATACAAACACAAAGCACAAAAAACATGCTAACTTTTTAAAATACGTGTCCACAACGCAATTTTTATCTAAATTCTCGAAAATCTTCATTATGCAAATCTAGAGTTAACACTTATAAAGTAAAGACAAAATAAAATGCGCCCACGTCTTCGGACACTTCCCACAAAATGGCGATGGAAGAAGGAAAAACGTGCAACCGTTGCTTTCCCTTACGAGAGAGAATGTCCAAATGATTACCTGCTATCACTTTCACTTTTAGAGTGCCGGCGCAGATAATACATTAACGGATATAGTGTCCAAACACTGGCGGTTTCTCGGAGGAGGAGGGGAAGAAAATCCTCCTCACACTCTGCCTTTTGAATGTAATTACCGAACAACAATTCTGCTTCGATGTTAAAAGATAAAATGTATATACAGTTAGATCAGAGCTATTCATTAATTCACTTCGATCGCGTTTCACATTCGTGCGCTTTTTAAGAGAACACGAATTCTCTTTGAGGACGAATTCTCAGCGTTTCCTTCTCTCTGCCCATACGACACAGCACTGCTACGGCCAGAAGGAGAAACATTTTATAATGCAGTCTTAAGATTCGAAGGAAAGAGTTTCTCCTGTAAACTGTAATATCTTGTCGGCTGGTCGAAATAGAACATCCAGCACATGCTGGGTGCCCAAACGCGCATGATTCATGTTCAACCCAAGGTACAGAACATACGCAGAGGGACGAATTCCATGTCACTAACACTATGGCAGCTCTGAGGGCCGACGGAAATCCAGGTGAAATGGCAAATCAAACAGTTACTTTCTCCCTCCTTTTTGCTAACCCAAGGTGACGAAGAGTACGACTATGCAAAGACGTTTGATGTTCAGTAAGTGAAGAGGACTTGCCTAACAAAATGTGTATTCTTCTTGAGCATCCTTTACAACTTGATACATGCTATACAGGTCAGCTGTTCTGTACTGTTCTGGTCTGAATTCATTTTAGGAATTGTTAATTTTGTAATCGGCTAAATGGGACCGGAATAAACATTTTGTTCTATTTAGGAAACTATAGAAATCAGTTCACAAAAACAGGTGGCTGATGGACAGAAAATACGTCCAACTCTAACTGTACGGAGCTTTTATGTAGCACCGGCACGGTTTAAGGGAATAGGTGTGTTGACTCCCAGTCTAAAACAAACTCTTGGGTAAAGTTTTCAGAGTTCTCGCATACGGGCTCCGAAGGACTTTCTTAGCAAGATAAGGATAATATCTACAGCTCATGTCGTTGTAAGGCCCAGTTTAAGCGTAGAGAGATCAGACTGAATGTTCAGAGGCCTCTGGAGTCAGGGTGGCCACACAAAACTCATGAAATGGAAAGTAAATCTGATCTACTGAAGCTGCAATGTGACAAAGACTTTCTCATACTAATTATTTCCTCTTCATTATAGATCGGGCTTCCTTTTCGTTTTTCTCCCACTCCCTGTTTGGCTCCGTAAGGGACATACTAGGACTCCTCGCTGTAACTCACACTATGGCAGCTCCGAGGGCTGACGGAAATCCAGGTGAAATGGCAAATCAAACCGTTACTTTCTCCCTCCTTTTTGCTAACCCAAAGTGATGACGAGTACGATTATTATGAAAAGACTTTTGATGTTCAGTAAGTGAAGAGGATTTGTATAACAAAATGTTTATTCTTCTTGGGCTTCCTTTACAACTTGATTCTTGTGACAACTGTCAGCTGAACTATACTGTTCTAGTCTGAATTATTTTCAGTAACTTAGTTTTTTAATCGGGTAAAATGGACCGGAATGAACATTTTGTTACATTTAGGAAAATGTAGAAGTCAGGTTATTAAAACAGGTAGCTGTTATAGAAAATACGTCCAACTCCAACACTGCCGGAGATTATAATAGTATGTAGCACCAGCAGGGAGTAAGAGAATACTTGTGTCAACTCCCAGTCTAAAACAAACTTTTTGAGTATATGTATCAGGGTTCTCTCATAAGGCGTTGAGAAGGACTTCGGTCTTTCTTAGAAAGATGGGAGCTACGTCAGCAGCATTTATTATTTATTTATTGATTTAACAAGTTTACAATGGAATGAATCACTTTTCTGTTTCAACATTACATTTTATACAAATACTGATCTTAATCATTTTTCCATTTTTGTATATTTCATAACATGAAAAAAATCCAATCTGGCGGCGCTGCAATATGGCTAATACGTTCTCGTACTACTTACTTCCCCTTTGTTTTAGGTTGTACTTCCTTTCCGGTTTTTTTCCTCGATGTAACTACTCTATACCAACGATTTAACTCGCTCTAACTACTCCCAATCTATCAACTCAGAACTTCGAGCATGTCGATCAGCTAGCTCTTCGCCCCTCTCTTATGCCTATGTAGTGGATCTCAAAAATGACAATCTAGTGTAGTACATCGTGTAGCCGATCAAGTGGAATAACTCATGCAAGTTGAATAAATCGTGCATCACCGTGCAAGTTGACTAAGTGTATATTCGCAAGCAAGTTGATCAACTGGACGTTTCGAAGGTGTAACATCGTTCAAGTCGACCAAACAGAATGTTGATAATGTAGAAAATCACATCGCAAATTGAAACGGAAGCCGTTCCACGTGAACACTCACCCGGCACGCCGTTCACGACGTCCAGCCACATCAACTCCCCGCCGGTCCACAGCGGTTCCGGCGGCGGGGCTGGCGCGCTCAGCAGAACCTCCGCGCCCTCCGCCATCCCACTGCCACCGCCGCTGCCGCTGCCACTGCCGCTGCCACTGTCAGTGACGTTGGCGGCGCCGGCGCCGCCGTCCTCGGTGCCGCCCTTGCGCTGGGGCAGGCAGCCCACGGCCGCCGCCCAAGCCGTCAGGTTGTTGCGGCGGTCCGCCAGCTGCACCGCCTCCACGCAGAAGTGCTGCTCGTCCAGCCACCACCACGCCGGCGGCTGCCAACAGCGAAACGCGCGGCGATGGTGTAACGGTTAGCGTACCGGACTGTTGTACTCAAGTTGGAGGGTTTTAATCGATCGAAGACATGGATTTTTAAGGGCAAACAAAAATCCTTCGTACACCTTCCTTCGGAGGGAAAGTAAAGCCGGCTGTCCCATGTAAGTAGATTTACTTGCATGTAAAAGATCCTCAAGCCTAAATGACGCTAAATTCAAATCGCCTGTTTCTCGCCCAAGAAATACCTCCTTTCTCTGCTAGTTGGTGAAAGGAGCGTAGTGAAATTTGCGTGGTCAGACGGAAGAGCGGGCCAGATGTCCCGAGTCTCGCCATGTAAAATAAGGCAATACAATTAATTCAATTCAACGCGCCCACGTTGGCACAACACGCATACCGATAAAGGTGGCTCATGGCAGCAACTGTATACATGCATTGCGTCTGACCGGGAAGTCCTTGGGTTCCTCTCACGACGGTGGCAGGATTTTTGGCACTAGCTAGGTCGAGTTCAGTTGCTGACCGGGGGAGAATTTTAGTGAGCGACTGCTCTGATCGGTAGATTTCCGTGCTTTCACCGATCAACACCAGGCGAATGCCAAAGAAGTACCCTAATAAACGCGCCGCGGAACGCGCGCGATCGTTCCTTCCCATTCATTGTTCTATCCTCATCCCTTACACGCACGTACACTACATAAACTTTATTACCACAAATGTCGGGGGCTTAGAGGTTAGTCCCGGCTGGGCAGTATCCTGCTATTGGGAGATATGCTGGTGAAAATCGCTGCAAATGGACGTATGTCGGTCCCTGGATCTCGCCAGCCAGCGGAGAAAAATCACAGCAACCTCTCGCGATAAAACGCTTGTATTACACTTACGGGACAAATGATTTTATCAGTTAGGGCACCCGAAATCACTAATCAATCAATCACATCACAGATATGTCCATTACACTATTCACTGCTGAACGCATTAACGTTGATTGATTGATTGATTGATTGCTGTTTCTGGACGCGTCAACTGCTATGGTCATTAGTGTCGTAAATGAAGAGCAGTGAGTTTTAACACGGGAGGTGGCGGTGATATTCACCTATTGGATGGCAATATCCAGGGCCCACATGCATGTCAGCAAGCAGGGTGTACCCCAACTAGGTATCTCCCTCCAGCGGAGACAAGCTCTAGGCTCCCGAGTCGTCTCCTGACACGTGTGGCAATGTGGTGTTTGTAACTGTGTGCAAGTGAGGGTGAGGATAGGAGAAGGAAGAAAAGATCGCGTGCGGAACAGCGCGACCACCAATCGGAGCAGGCGGCTGTTAGAATTCTTCTTCAGACATCGATGAATACGACCTGGTTGTCTAGCTAGTGTCGGAAATCCTGCCACTGACAGAAAACAAACTCCAGGGCTCCCCGATAAGAATCTGTACACTGACATCAATTCATGCCCTGAGCCACCTCCTGAAGATACAAGATACAAACGTGAAATTTGGAATATATATTTCTAGAATGGTTTATATGAAAAGTAATGGACTATACGCAAATATGCGCAGGAGAAAAGTATACAACCTACAATGTTTCTTGGACGTGAAAGGGGTGTATGGAACATGAAGTTAGGCGGATCGGGGTGGGGAGGGTGATGTCTGACGCTGAGAGCTTGAGCGGAGCGGGAGGGAGCGCTACAGACCCCCCCCCCCACAATAATGTAATAAGAAATATAAGTAGCTAATTTACTGTCTGAGAGACGCCGTGTCGTAGGCACAGGTGCCATTTCGGACACCATTCTGCGACCTTCCTTACGGAAAAATGCCCGGGATGGCTGAGGCATTTCACCCTGAGGAAGGTCGCAGAATGGCAACCAAAACGTTCGGACCAGTGCCTACAACACGGCGTCTCCCGGACAGCCTTGCAGCTACTGACTCCGGTTGCGGAAGCCTACTCTCTCAAGGAATATAAAGTCTAGAAAGGTCTCGTTTTGTATTTCAGACCCTAAGATGCATAACTCCTGTGTTTCTTTTAAACCAAATTATCAAACGCGTTTAAGAACGTATTAAATATCTTTATATAAACCCGAAAGCGTTCGTTGGAATATAACAGTAAATACTTTGGAAGCGAGTAACCATTCCGTTCTTGTTATATCATTGTTGAAGTCAAGACAATAATATTATATTTGAACATAAATTGCATCGTGCCTGCCCACTCTTACTACGGAATAGGGATACCCTCCAAAAATGTAATCAAATTTCCAAAGACGTCTCATTTTCTATATTACGGCATACGAAACATTATTCTTTTCCGTGTTATGCTTGTTGACAATGTGTGTAGGTGGAATCTGCGGAATTTTCTCGTAAAAATGTTTTTTGTGGGCCGGGGGAATTCTTTACTCAGCTGTAGCTCATGTACGGGGTCTAATATTGATGGTTTCTTACAAACAGTCATCTTTCCTTAGCGTATTTTATACAGAGAGAATATTCGCCACAGGAATGTGGTTTACAATGACATTTTGTTTCAAAAGATTTATTAAAATCCCAAAAGGAGGTTGTTACAAGAGAAATAATAAATGCAGTAATTAGAAAATGTGAATTTACAAGAGAGCTCTCTGTGTACAGCGCGTTATAAGCTACAATTCTTTTCATCGTCAAATGAGATTCTGGTTAGACTCATTTTGTATACGGTCTTGGTGCACCAACTCCAGATGTTTTGTGGGTCATGCGCAGTAACCTCCACAACTCGACTGATCCCTATAGCTTTAGTTGGCCTCGTAACCTCATAAAAAACTCTGACTAGAGTGAAGGGTGTGTTCAAATTTCTTGACCCTCTCCATGATAGAAAGAAAAACAGATACACATTAATGTAATAGTCTAAACAGATCTTACAAAAAATATAGACCTAGACATTACAGAAACTGAGTTAACGTAACATGTAATAATATGTAAATACTTCAATTCAAAATAACAATTTTAAGTATTACAAAATAAAAGCCAGTCTGGATGAAGGACGTCGTGAGAGCTCAAACCGGCATATTTGGTGCGAAGAGTCGATGATTCTAAGATCGGGCATGGATGTGTCGTACCGGTATACTCTTGTGTGTGTGCGTGTTGTTTTACGAAGAGTCTCTACTCGGAGCTTGCAAAGTTGCCAGTTTTGTCTACTGAATGCTAGGAGCTACATCCAATTGGCATGGAAAAGAAAATAGCTTTCGCTAGAAAACGCCCTAATCAGAGAGACCAAATTAAAGACAAAAACACTTCAATACTTTAGTATTTCATCAACGCTTCAAAGTATTTCAAAACGTACCAGTAAATATTGTTCCAACATTACCTTTTTGGGGTAACATTTAATTCCAATATGTTTTTTAGTTGAAAAGTAGCCAGAAGTTCATTGAACTTGCACAATTTAAGCAGGAATATGGAAAGTGGAGTGAAACACCAGCCTCAACCAAATTCCCAATCGTTTACTCATGAATAGCAAGTCTTTGTTCGCTGCGTGACTCAGTAATTTCACGCTCGTGGCAAAATTGAAGCGTGGTGTTCCAAGTATTGTCGCAGGCGTGGAAACCCCCATCAGTTGAATTCCATTAATAAACGAACCGTTGTCTGCGACTTGACCATGACCATTTCTCATTTCGCTTATCTTCTGGGATGCGTAACGGATAAAGAGCAGCAAATTATCCGGCTATACATTAAATTTGAAAGCCGTCATTAAAAAATTGCAAAATATACGGAACATGAGTCTCCCAAGTAGCATTAATTAACGCAAAAGAATGATTTTGCCTCAAGCAGATTAAAAAACAGTGAAAGGCGAACAGTGAACCACTAACATATATCACATATAAATGCTTCGAAATTCATATCTCTTTTCAATTGACCATAACTGAAATAAATAAAGTCGGGGAAAAGCACATTCCAGAATATTTAATAATTTTTCTCACTAACATCATCATACAAAATATTTGAGTATTTTTTTAGGGTTTATATTAAAATAAATAAATATTTAACATTCTAAGTTGTTTTAGGTCAATTCAAATGTATAAATTGGTATTAATAGCAGTGTCGGTTAAAAAGTGTACGGAAAATTTAAGATAAGGTCGCTGATAGTCTGAAGCGGCAACTGTGCGTCGCAGCTCCCAGAGGCGTCGCCGCCACATGGTAGGGGTGTTCATTTGAATCCTTGTGTCTTTTATGTCCACAAAATAATTTTGTACTATCATACTACATATATATAATAAATCCTTGCAATATATAGGATTTATTTCACTTATTAACTGTAGATTAATTGAGCCAGGGAAGTTCTTTACCAATATCCTATTATATTACGTATTCATTTGGGTTGAATCTTTAGAAGGGTTGAATATTAACCCTTATATTTGAAACATACTTCTCTCCGCAGCAAGTTATACACAGTTTCTAACTGTATTTTGACGTAAAATAAAATTAAAAAAACTTATTTTTACTACGGGGGCGCGGAAGTTTTGTTTAGGTCGAGGGGCCATGGACGAAAAAAGTTAGAAAACCCTGGTCTAAAATATTGCGCACCGTTATTGGATAACTCATTCTGAGAGATATGAAGTGCACTTTATCTACAATTAAATACATTTTTGAAATATCGTTTGGAAATTATTTTATAGATGAATCTGCGTTGATGTTGTAGTACTTTAAAGTACACTTTGTAGTATATTCTAAAGAACAACTTTCCCAACATTCATTCAAACTTCAAAGGTTACAACATCCTTTTCATCTGGACGAATTGATATTAACAATTACTTCAAACAAAATGTAACTGCGAGTAGATGGATTGATAATTTTTGTTTTAAATGCTGTTACAAATGACGTAATACTCCAGCATGCCGTGTGTCATTCACCCCGTCTTTGTTGTGGAGAGAACAAAAACAAACAACGGTGAATTGCTCGGCCGCAAAGCAAAGTCACGATTTCCGCTAAACGATTCCGCGAAAAGA